GTTGGAGAGAGTGTTGTTGTTCACAGCTTCACCAAATTGAAGATCTTACGACCGACACCCCAACGGGGGCTTTAATCCACCTATGCCATCAAAGGTTTTCTTTAAAATGTGACGTTTTGCAAGCATATTTTCAAATATTTTTCTTGTTCCTGGAAGCAAAGAAATGTTAGTTCGTAAGTTAGATATTGAAATAATAATTAGTAGCATACCGCCAGGCATGAACATAAGTAGTATTGTATTGTTTACTAGGGAAGTAGGCGATGTGGGGTACTCCTAGTACATTTTATTAAAGCTAAGAAAAAAGTCAGCATAATCTCGTTTATTCATTAAATAATTCCATGAAATAGTGGTTTTTAGATTATTGTTTTTTTTTTTAATTTGTATTAAATTGTTATTTACTTTGTCTCGGAAATTGTTTAGAAACTCGAATATTAGATGCTTCAGATATTTGGAAAGGTATATCCTTTTCTTATAATCTTAAACGCCTTGACTCATAGTAGTTCCATCATTAGGAATTGCAAATGGTGAGGCATCTGTTATTTTTAGTTTTCTCTCTCTTTGTTTAAGCTGGAATTTCCAATGTAATCAAAATGTCTTTATTTGTATGATCTGCTTTATAAAAGCAGCTTAAGCATAAAGGCAGTTAACTTCTAGAGAATTTTCTCTACTTTCGACTTCGAATTCCATTTGCTTGCTCCCCTGTGTTCCGTCATTAATTGGCCATTTGTTGTGTCACCTTGAGCTGCCACAACTGCTGATAACCTTATCCTTTGCCTTGAATTTGCTCGGCTGTGCATAATCTCTGATTTGTGTATACCCATAGGACTAACCTCGGCGATGTCTTGAATGGAATGCAATAGCAGCAGCAGCAGCAACAGCAGTATCAGCGGCGAAGGCAGAGGCAACCCACTTGGCTTGTCTACTAATTAAAATGCATGCAATAACCTGAAGCCTTTGTTGCCGCATTGTTATTGTTGTTGTTTGTATGCGTAGAAGGACGCACGGCGTACGCAGCAGCAGCGTTGACAATTTGTTGAAAGTGCTCGGCCCAGGCTTGTCAGGTTAAGGGAACAACAACAGCAGCAACCAACTAACCAGCCAACCAACCAACTATCCATGTCCCATTCCATTCATTCAAGTTCAGGACAGACTCTATTGATGGCTTGTCAAATACACTACTTATATACATACTGCGGGCAGATATATAGATCTGACAAGCTACATTTTTAATTGTCTATCAGCGCACCTATTTATAGCACAAAAGCCATAAATGGCCTTGCACTAAGCTCAGGTCTGAGCCACAGAGCCGTCGGCAACAACAGAACAGCAACAGCAACAACAACAGCCACAAAAGAAGGGCAGGTGGGTGTAGAGGGGTATGTGCGTGTGTGTGTGTATCTGTGTGTGCCATATGCATTTTTAATGACATTTGGCTCTAGCGTCGCCAATTTAGTCGGAAAAGCAATTTAAGCCCAAAACGCAACTGTTGAATGGCCAGCCCCAGTGCCTGTGCCTGTGCCAATGCCAGAGCCGGGCACACGTGTTGCAAAAATGTGCATACCTCGAAATACATTTTTGATGCAGATTTTCATAATAAATAAACGTAATAATGTGCGGCATTATTGTTGCGTGACTGAGCGATGAACGAGAGCTGTGCACGATTCTGATTTGTTTTTGTTTACTTAAACACAACGCTAACGCAATCAATTTTATATTGTTTATGCATATGTTTGTAGAACTTTTAAACTGTAGAAATGAGGCTTCAATTTCAACTACGAAGCTAACTTAAATAGAAAGATTAAAGATTTCACAAAAAAATCCGGAAATAATTTACTATCAATGCTAAACAACTGCGAAGTACTGAAGGACTCCAATATCGAAATATTATTTTAATTTAATATAGAAGAATTCGCTGAATTTAATTAGCAACTTCAACTTTTGCACATCTAGGGAATTAATTCTAAAATGTCCAACAATAATTCGCTTTTTGCCATCATGTTTGCTGCGATTTTTTTTATATCTTCAAGCAAATGTAGAACCTAGAATACATGATAGAATCGTTGTTTCCCAACTTGAATACCTCATCTAAAGAATATTCTACTGATTTTAAAATAAAAACATTTCAAGAAGCTTCGTTTGTTATTTATTTATTTATATTTATGTCACCAAACATTGGCTGTCGACATAGGAAAACAATATATAAAACTTATAATCAAAAACCTTATAAGCTAGGAAAGTCTAAGTAAGAAAAATCAAATCTAAGAAAAACTTAACGGGGAGAAAAAGCTTAGAATTAATGAAAAGCTTATTTTAAGAAAGGACCAAAAAATATATAAACTGGAATCTCATATCGCAAATAAGTAGAATTGTATAAAATTGCGGGGCATTAACAAAATATTTGTTCAAAGTATTAAATTGAATGCTTAAATAAATAAATCTATTTCATCAGAATCATATTTTCTAAATTCGTACTCAAAAGTGGTAAAAATGGGCGCCAACGTTTGACAAAATATCTGTCACTTTTCACTTTTGACCTTCAACTTGGTCTGTCTACTCTTTAAAGGCATTCACTTTTTGTATTTCCGATTTGGTCGTAAGCAGAACGGAAGACAATACCCAACCCAAACATTTAAATATTGCTTCATAGCTGCGGTTATAAATCAAAATGCAATAATTGTTTTTAATTACAACTAAACAATGCCTACGCACACATGCATTTAAGTAATAATTATAAAGTTATTTTTTATGCACTGGAAAGCAACGTTCTTTTGGAATATTTTACGTTTTACAGTCTGTTAATAGCCATAATTATGATGTACGAGTATGTATGTATGTGTGTTTCTAATTGGCATTTATCTGCAGATCAGCAATTAGTAATTTATATTTAAAGAGTATCTCAACTTCACGTTTCGTCGCATGTCAAGCAGCGAATTGTTGTTGTCTCCATATTTGTTGATACGCTTACAGCTTATTATTTCATTTAAAAGACGATTTCATGCCGAAAGAAAACAAATAATAAAGCAAACATTACGCAGTTATTAGCCAAATGCCCTTGAAATACGCCAACGTGGAGCGGGCTGGCAAAAATATTGAAAAAATTTTGCATGCAAATGAGCCAAGCCAAGAAAGAAAGCCGAGAAGAATCGAAGAGAAAAACCCGCCGCCAACCGGTTGGCTTGAACTTGACACGATAACGAAGGCCCTCCCCCCTTCATGGCAACACCTTCTGCAGCGATTACGGTGCTCTTGTAGCTGTTGTTATTGTTGTTGTTATTGCTGCTTACTCACAGCCACCTTCTCTCTTGCGGCATTGCGGGTCGTAGCCCTTGACGCGTGCGCGAATCCAAAACAACAACAACAACAGCAACCACGAATGCCCAACAACGAGCAAAACTACAATCCACAACTATTGAGTAATCTACCGCGCATTATAAACAAAATTCTAGCAGGGCGATCGAAAGAGAGAGAGAGAGAGAGAGAGAGGACAAAAGCAAAACAATCTCATTTCATAATAAGGCGCTTCCGTCATACAAGTCTGAGCTTTTGCTCGCCAATGATCATCGGCAGTGTTGCGAACTTTTCAATTTGAATGCCACAAAGCGCCAGATTGAGGAAGCAAATGGCGTAAAAGGCTAAAATACGCGTCAATAATTGCAATATTTTTCAATCTTTTAGCAAAGACACTACAATGTCGACTTTTTTGACTCATTCAAGTACACAGTCAATGATATATTAAAACTAAACTAAAAAGATGGCATACTTTACAAAAAGTTGTTAGCTCAAAAGTTTTCATAAAGAATATGCTAATCAAGCAAATTTATTTGTGTATATGAATGACAGAAGTGAATGACAGAAGAAGGTTTAACAGAATAACAAACAATGGTTTAATTCTGTTAAAAATTATTTTTACATACCTATATGTATATAACTTTCTGCATATACTATATGTATCTGAGATAGTAAAATAAGTAAACAAATTAGAAAAGCTATTAGGGAGACGGCTCAGGCCAAGCTTTCCCTTTTTTCCCCCAGGTTTATTATTATTATATTATTTGATTTTTGCCTTCCCTTCCTCCGCTCAATACTGCCTACATAAATCCAAATAGGTAGATAAAAAAAACTTTCCACACATCATTAATATGTTATTACATATCTACTTTTGTTTAAAATTTCATCCAAATCGGTATATTTAAAATATAAAATTATTAGCGAATCAATTTTACTTTAATACTGTGCCCACAAACTACAGAAATGGGTTTGTTTGGGTGCAGGTTACTTCATTGTGGGGTTTGCTTGACTGTAGCGTTCTCTCTTGTTGAACAATAACAATAAATACGAGCAGCTGTAAGTCATTTAAAAGAAATAACAAAATGTTTCTCACAAAAATAATTGATTGCTTTAAATTTTAATTGGCTGCAAAACTTATAATACACAATTCGAAAGATTACAACGCACAACAACAAGATAATTCAAATATATTATACACAATATGAATACTAAGGTTCAGTATTTTCAGAATAACAATACAGAATCTTCGCGATCTAGTAAACAACATTAAATTTAAACAAACAACAAATTTAGCTAAATGCACAAAAAAATGCAATGTTTTATCCCTTTCCCTTATTCCGAATAACCGGACCGAATCATACATTTGTAATTATAATTCCCAAGTAAACACATATGAGAAATAAAAATGTGAATAACATTTAGCTGTGAATCTATTTAAACAATGAAAATAGAATGAAATATACCGTTGCTCCAAAAACACTTACTCAAATCTGACGGCAAAGTTATTTAGTTGGCAACTCTGACTGTCTGACGAGTGAAGGCGCGCGATCAGTGGCTGCGAAGAAAAGCTTTTCTGTGTGCGAAAATAAAAAGCTTTGCGAGCGCTCGCTCTGCCGCGACTAACCAACCAAGGCGTCATGCCGCATATCTAAGCTAGTTTTAGTTTGGCAATTTACGCATAGACAGCGAACAACACACGGCAGCCGGTGTATAAATAAATTGTGTTAAATTGAAAGACAGCTGTTGATATTTTCATTTTGTGATTTCCATTTGAACGTCGCCATCTGGAAAATGTATTAAACAACTTTTTTTGTATTACGACTTTCGTTTTGTTTTGTCACGTCAAGAGTGAAAGAGATTTCATTCAACTTTTGTTGTTGTTGTTGTTGTTATTAGTATTCTTGTTGTTGCTGTGTTGTGAGTGTGTAACATATGTGTTGAGTGCCATTTAAGCAACTGTGGCGACCTTGGACAACTGTTTGTGATTTCGTTTAACTCGAAGATACAAGTTGCTGCCGATTTCAATAGAAAGATTGTTGACCCAATAAAAGAGGGAGAAAATATCAGAGCGTCTTTAACTAAATCCGGCCGATATATGTATATAGCATTTTAACGAAATTCGTATGAAATCATATTGACTTAAAAGCACTAATCTGCCATTCCTTCAATATATTTATTTGAATAGACGTGTGTGTGCATTTTCCGGTTAAACGTTAAGCACACATGTATCGCGAAATGAATAAGCAAATCTAATTTCAAAATGAATACCCGTGGCTACAATTGTGAAATATTCAAGATGAATTCAGCGTTTATAACAGCAGTGGTGTTCTAATCATTTCTAACATACTTATATAGTCATAGCTATAAAATAATGTAAACTTGTAAACACAAATTGTAAGCACACTAAACTAAAGTTTGAAAATAAGATTAAACAATGAATGCTTCATCGCTTGTATCGCTTATTCGAATTGTGATTAAATGGCAGCTGCACTGAACTGGTGGAGCATCAATCTTTAGATCGCTTTTTATTCCTTCCCTTCTCTTGCAACTTCAGATTCTTTTGAAATGTTGGAAAAAAATAAAACACACATAGCTCCATTTCTAAAGTTAATAAAAATATCAATTTGCAAAAGGTAATTTTTAATATACTATTTGTTAGAAGTTTTTGGTCTTCAGTTTTTAATAGCTTTTCCTTTTTTTTTGGGGGAATCCTGCAATTTGTAAATTAGAGGAGGAGGTTGTTTTTGAGTTTGTGAATTGTGAAGAATGAAAAGTAATATCACAGCTTTGACGAATTATATCATTATTATAATATAAAATAGAAATAAATTATTATTTATGTAGAAAACTTGAGATATGTGCGATTTTTTTTGGTTCTGCTTTGCCCTTTCGGACTGTAATTGGAATTGTTATTCATTTAAATGGCGATGCCGTCACTTTTTCTCTTTAATGCCTCTTAATAATTTCCTAATATAAAAACTACTTAGCAACCATTATCAAGCTGATTGACTTAATATAAGTACATACATTTTATACTAAGTGCCATTACATTATCTTTAAATAATCTTCAAAATACTTACTTATCTAGCAGATCATTCAACTTCCGCCATTTATTTATAGAGTGGGGCATAAAAATGTCCATAGTCTGCCTATATCTGTATATGTCGTTTCTAAGTACACACTTCAACTTTATTCTCCAAAACTTAGAGAACGCCTCTTTGTTGTGGTCGACTACAAATAATCGCAGAACCATCTTAAGTATTCGCACATGTTAATGAAAAGACGTTCGCACTCACTTCAGGTTAAATAGCTGGCCCAACTACCAGCATGGGCGCTGCCGGATATTATTTGGGGGGATAACGAAGTAACGTTTAATAATGTTAACAGATACAATTTTATCTGCCGTGAACACTAGAAGATTCATATTCTTATTCAGATGAAAAGTTTGATTACAGGCAAAATATTATAAATGTTAAAATGGCAACAACATTCTATGACTAACAATTTGTTAGGAACGAAACAAAAACTATGCCGAAATAGTAATGAACTTAAAAGTAAACGGGGGAGAATTTTTAGATCTTAATGCTAGAGATGTTTTTTAATGAGATGTAGTTTGAAATGATGTTAGCTCTGTAAGAATCTAGAAATAAATATTTTTTAAATATATACATAATTAATGAATAAGACACCCCCAATAAATCTGGCTCTAAGAGATATTTCTGAAGATACCAAATACAGATTATTTCTTTACCTCCTTTAAAATACAGTTACGAAGTTAATAGGATAAAAAATTCTGATTTTTTATACAAACGTTGGTCCAGTGCTTACCCATTTAGAGTAAACATTTTTGGTGAATCAAAATATTGAATTAAATGGGAAAAATACATCTGCTTGTTTCGAGTTCCAGTGCGGGAGGCCCAATGCCCTTCTTAAAGCCCTTCACTACGCCCCTGGCCTCACTCACTTAAGCAGTTGAAAAGTTCACATTGACGTCACTTTTTTTCCCATACGACGAAGCCAGACCGACTAAATTCTAATCAGACATTCGACTTTCTTCATATACTGGCGTGCGTGTGTGTGTTTGTTTGTGAGTGAGAGAGAGAGAGAGAGAGAGAGAGAGAGTGCGAGAGGGGGGGAGTGTGTGTGTGTGTGTGTAGTAGGAGTGTAAATTTCCTGAGCTTAATCACCAGGCAGGCATACACACACACACACACACACACAAACGCACATGCCTGCATGCTGAAGTGTACTTTGCGCCCTTGAGAATGGTGCGCAATTAAATGCAGTAACGGTAAAGCAACAACAATTACAGTTACACTTGGAATAACAATACAACATGAAAGATGGCAGTGGGATTGGGAGAGTGCCAGAGCCAGAGTCAGAGCCTGTGCAAATATACATATTTGCCCAGTGATTGGCGCTTTAGACGCTCTTGACGCACAAATCGGCCACGAGGCAGGCAGCAATTATAATGCATAATTAATTAAAAGCAACAACAACAACTAAAATAACAATAGTAGCACTAAGCCCCATGTGAATTATTATGCAAAAACAAAAAAACAAAACGGAAAACTTAAACTGTCTATTAAAGTGCAACGCAATGCTTTGCTGATTATAAAAAGACAGCAGCAATGACCAACGACCAGGCATTTAATCATTAACTAACAACAATAACAACAATATTAATAAAAATATCAACAACGACGCACATACATATGCTACAAGTATAATGTAAAAGTTATCAGTGCGCGCGAAAATTGAAGCAATTGTGCAAACAAAAGTGTAAGTGAAATCAAAGGCTCTGCCGCACACTGCTCTGGCAACGAAACGAAATGGAATGAATGAACAAAACAATAACAACAACAAAAACAATTATTAGCATTATAAAATATTTGATTTCTTTATTTTTGTGTTTAGTATCATTTCAAAAGCGAATGCGTGCAGGCCGGGCAGCTAAATCTGTAGCGGCTACAAAATAAAATATAGCAACGATACAAATAAATAAGTAATACTACAAACTAAGAAACTGGGTCAGTGTTTAGACAACTCCGTGCCTGGCAAAAGTTGCAATTTGCAGAAAACAAAAAGTTAACTACCAACAACAACAACAACAACCACAAACAAGCAACAAATAAAGAGTAAATAAAACAAGACTTAAACAAAAAATATTACACATACACATTAACACACACAGAGAGAGAGAGAGACACATAAACATCAACAGTTATTACAAAATTTGTGCTCAAAAATGTTGTACAAACTGCTAATCCAACGGCCAGCACATGCCAGCAACAACAACAGCAGCAACAAAAAGATGTACAACAACAAAAAAATCAACTGCAAACACCAGCAGGCCCAGCACGCCGTGGTGCTAGCACTGTTGTTGCTACTAATGTTGTTGCTATTGCTGAGCGGCCAAATCGAACCGGTGGATGGCCATAAAGTGACGGTAAGTTGGCCAAAAAGTTGCAAGCCAAGTTGCTCGTACTTGGCAAGGAAACAACAACAACATTAATAAACTTTACTAGAGTTCGTTTATTTAGTCGGGCAGTTGGGTAATCGCCTTAGGCTTCAAAATCGGCACCACTTGGCGTATACTTGATTTTTGAACGCCCAGCAAAAGCCATATAAGTAACACAAACACAACAACACTTTTCAGTTTCGAAATAATAAATTTCAGACGAAATGTATTGACAGCACAAAAGTGAACGATTTCACAAGGATAAGGAAATAAGTACAAAGAAGTAGGAAAGTAATTAATTAGGTAATGTAGTTACCTTCTTTTTCGAGTGTACGCTTCAAAGAGCATTTGAATTTAGCATTTTAAAGGCAGTTGCATTATTTTTAATTTAAAATTATATTAATTGCTATATATTAATTATTTTTTTGTAACTAAACATGCTTTCTTTTATAGCAATACTTTGCACAAACCTAAAATATCCTTCGTGTACAGATTAAAAACATTTTCATATTTTAGCTTTATTGCTAACTTTTCTTGCGACCAATGACTCACAATAAAGCGATATTTTCGATAAGATACTTATTAAGGATTCAGATTGTAATGTTGATCACCTACAGTTTCAATGTCGGCGATATCTTTTTGCGATATCTTTGATAAGAAAGCGCTTTCTAAGCGATTCATCGTTTTTATGGCAACAGGCAAAGGTCAACAATTGGGGGAATATACATATGTGTGTATACATACAATAGGCTATAAAAGCTAAGTACCGATCGAACAAAGAAGCTACAATTAGAAAGATGAAACAGTGAGTGGTGCTATGAAAAAATAATTAAATCTATTAAGTTGGGGAATATTTGAAGGGTGTTTTCTTTAGCAACAGTTACTTATAATGTGACCTTTAAAATTGTGGCTTAAAATTTGATATGCTCATTAAGAAATGTACGCCATAGATGTTGAATTCCAGCTGTATTTCTATCCCTAATCATAGGCGCTGTCTTAAAGAAATGCATTCAACTTTCAATGTACCCTCGGCTTCATGTTAATGTATCAATGCTAACTAAAGAAATGCATTCTATTTAACAGATTCCGACTTTTTTTTGGCAGCTAAGGTTAATTTTCTATTCATATTATTTCTATTAGTATTATTATTCTTATTAGGCACATTCCGGGCATTATTTTTAGCACCAACTAACAAATTCATTTCAGTCTAATTGGCAGAGAAAATCGGAAAAGGAATTAATATATTTAGAATATTATCAACATATGTGTGTATGTATTTTCTAGAAGCTAGATCACACGTTTAATATCAACGTTCAGCCATGCTGGCGTCCCAAAATCTAGACACCGAATCGATCATCACGTTCTTATCAATTTTGTGCTTCCTCATTGCTAGTGTGACGCGTCATAAAGGCTTCCGACCAGACAGCCCATTAAAATTTGATTACTTGGAGCCAAAAAAAGTAGTAATTATTCATAACACGCGCATCCAGCCACACACCCCCAAATCTAGACACACCTACCGCACCGCTCAAACCTTGGATTGAAACATAAAAAAGTTCTAGAAAAGAATACAAAAAGTGGACAATAACAAGTTTTATGAAAACAAGTCATAGTATTCAGAATATACATATAGTAGAAATATTGTTTCAATACTATATATAGCGGCGATCACCCGATCACTTCGCCCAGCTATCAGCTGAGAAAGGGTGGGTGGGCTAATGTCAGGGACTATCTGCGATAAGCGACAACGAATTCAGCGACACCATTCGTTGACTCTCTCTGAACGCATGGTGCCCTAACTTTTGCCATCATGCCCACTACTTGCTAATCAAAAATAAAAAAGGAAAGCTTGCCAGAAAAAAACGACAGCAACAAAAAATAAAGAGGCTGCTAATAAATGGCACACGATGTCGCATCGTCGGACCACTTTATTCTCCTATGACGCGTTTTCGTCGCAGATATATACATATAATTGGACTTTGGGCCAAAAGCGTTCTCATGGTGCGTGCGATTATTATGGTCAGCTGCCTGTCTTTGTTCGCCGCTACTGACATTCTGAATAAATATATAGTAGGTTTCTACAAAGATAAGCAACGTTATGGTGCCAATATGGGAAATAGCCCCAATCTATGGGAAACAGGTGTTTGAATGCGATAACAAATGGCCTAAGTAAGAATTTAGTAGACTGTTGGTCACTGGGAAAGGCTAAAAATACTATAAGAATATCGAATTAATGTTTGCTCTAAATTTTTAACATAAATTCATAAACATTACGTTGTATAGTAACATAACAGAATGTAATTCGGCTGTATCTGCAGCGCTCTCTTGCTCTAATTAACATTGTAATTGGGAAGCGCTCTTGCTCTCATTACAGAGCCTGATCAGCAAATGCAGCTGCACTGTTAGGGCCGCCTTGCGTTCAGAAAAGTCTAGTCTAAAAATCGCTGTAACATAACATAATGTAATTATGCAGGGCTGTAATGCTAACACACTGTAATTTGGCAGCGCTCTTGCAGTGCTTAGGGCCTCCTTTATTAAAGTATTGTCTAGAAATTCTGGGCAGGCCAGATTTTTGTTGCTCTCCAGCATTCGTGAGAGAGACAATTGGCTTAAATAGAAAAATATAAAACACCCCATAAAATTAACTAAAAATTGGAAAAACTTCCACAATAAGTCGAACACTCTGCACTTATAACTAAAAGTGTCCAACACTTTTAATTTAATTAAATGCTTTAAAAAAGTATGCGATTTAGCAAAAGTCAGCCTTAGAGTCTCATAAAAGAGCAATGATAATTAATTGAAGCCATTTAGCATCATTACTTAGCATTTATTCTCTGTCATTGTCTAAAATTTTTTTGGATAATGCTAGACTTTACTTAATTTAAATATTGTGAACATATTTACTGCATTATTATTTAATAGAAAATGGGGTTTCTAGAAAATTTCAGCCAAAATTAATTACATCATAGGCTGCAATTGTGTTTGGTTTATCCGAAATTCGAACACTTAGTTTACTTCCATTGTCTTTATTTCGGGAACTTCCTTTTAAATATGTTACAATCTGAATCTAAATCTGCTTCACTATGCAGAGTAACAAATTGTTTTAATTAAAACTTATTTGTCTAACAGATTGTTATATGCCACTAGAAAAGCAACAACTAGGGGAAAAATTATATTAAATAAATACATTTATAAATGTTAAAAGCAACGCCCTCCTCTGCGCTTCTCATGCTAAGCACTTAAACGAAGCCACTTATGTAATTTTTTTTGCGAATAATTTAACTGCCGCCACTGGAAGCTTCAATATTAATGAAATAAACTAATTGCCCTCCTCCGCGCTTTTCATGACATTATCACATCATTAGACTGCTTTTAAAAATAATTTATTGATAATGCTTAAGAAGGAAATATAGGATCCGGTTTAGATTGTTCGCCCTTTGTTCCCAGCAGTTTTTAGTTCTATTGCGATGCCATCCAATTTAAATCAAATCGTATATAAACAGTTCATTAAATAGCGGAATTCCATTCAAAACCTAAAATTGGAAAGTGATCTACTATTTACTATACTACTAGATTTTATCGTTTCTCTCTGTTCACCTTGCAGGCCAGACGGATAACCAATCACAACTATCCGGTGGAGGAGCACACCGTACACACATCGGACGACTACATTCTGACTATTTATCGGATACCCACATCGCCGAAGCGTCCGCTGCAAAATGAAACCATAAAGCCAGTGGTTTTTCTACAGCACGGCATACTGTGTGCCTCGGATGATTGGATTATCAATGGACCGGAGACCTCGTTGGCATACATGTTCGCCGATGCCGGTTACGATGTGTGGCTGGGAAATGCGCGGGGCAACACCTATTCGCGCCAGCACAAACACATACATCCGGATACGTCGGACTTCTGGAAGTTCAGTTGGCACGAAATAGGCGTCTACGATTTGGCCGCCATGCTGGACTATGCGCTAGCGGAGACGAACTCCAGCTCATTGCATTTTGTGGCGCATTCGCAGGGCACCACAACGTTCTTCGTGCTAATGTCCTCATTGCCGTCCTACAATGAGAAGGTGCGTTCGGTTCACTTGCTCGCACCGATCGCTTTCATGCGCAACCATTCCTTTATTCTGTCCAAGCTGGGCAGCATCTTCTTGGGCTCGCCATCATTTCTCAGTTGGGTGCTGGGCGGCATAGAGCTGCTGCCGATTACGACAGTTCAGAAACTGCTCTGCGAGCATGTCTGCTCGGTGGGCTCGATGTTTAAGTTCCTCTGCTCGGGCCTCTTGGATTTCATTGGAGGTTGGGGTACCAGACACTTGAATCATGTACGTAAACTGCCTTATGAGGTACTATATTAGATATTTTCACCTGTTTTTTTCTATTCTTTAGACTCTGCTTACGGACGTTTGTGAAACGCATCCGGCGGGTGCATCCACCACCCAAATCATTCACTATCTGCAGCTCTATATCTCGGGCGACTTTCGACAGTACGACCATGGCAAGGAGCTGAATGAGATTATCTATCAGCAGGCGACCCCGCCTTCTTACGATATCTCCAACATTAGGAGCTGCGTCAATCTATATTATAGCGAGAACGATTACATGTCAGCGGTCGAGGATGTCGAATATCTGGCCTCGTTGCTGCCCTGCGCCGAACTCTATCGCATCCCGTACAATGATTGGAATCATTATGACTTCCTGTGGTCCATCAATGTGAAGGAGGTGATAAATAATCGAATCATTGACAAAATCCGCAGATATGACATCGAACACAAATTGGGTGTGAGCTCGTAGTGGACCCTACTCTCTCCAATATCTTCAAAGTTTGTACATAATTGTAAATAATTAGTTACTAACTAGCTAGAGCGTGATATTATATTTGGTATTTAATAGCATTTAAGCTAGCTAAAGTGACAACAAAAAGGTTTGTGAAATGTTATTTAGGCATAATTAATGATATAATAAAATATATATTAAATAAAATAAAAATCGCTTTTAAAAAAAAGTTTATTTAATTAAACAATTATTATAATTTTATAAATGCTACTTAAAGTTAAATAGCTTTTCATATATTACTTCTTTATAATTACGCGCCTATTAATTACCAAGAAAGTATACCCATTTTTTAAAAATATTTTTTGTCTTTTATATATTTTTCAACTGAAAAGCTAATTTTGAATTTTTCAAATTTCGTTCTCGTTCAAATTGTTGTAGCTGGCAACGCTGTGCGCTCTTTTGCACACTCAGTCGCTCTCGCGCTCACGCTCATGCAGTGTGAGAAAAACGTCGACAGAACATCAACAGCATTTACGGGCCACGCCATATTTGATTTTTTGCTTTTGCAAAGTGGACAAGGTTGTTGGGCATCGTGCATTTTTCTAAGTGTAAAAAAATTTAAGCGCACATTCAATTGATTTAAATTTTTTCGGTGTATTGCGGCAAAGTGAAGCTATTACATTTTCTTACAGTGATTGGTACGCACAACAAAAAACAACAACAAATTAGCGCGCAACAAAATGCGGCAGCTGCAGAACAAAAGGAAATACAAAATCGATTAAGTGGCAAGCAAAGCAACACAACTGTTTGTCCGCAGCGAGCGAAACGCTCTTTTATTACACAAACAAAATGGGTAGGTTGTACAGTGGTTTGTGATTTAGTGCTTAAATATTAATTGTTGATTAAAGAAACAATATATAAAGAAATGAATAAAATTTATGCCGCTGCCTGCTGAGCGTTGCTCTCCCTCGTTCCCTCTCTCTCTCTTATCATCACGTTTACTCTCTTTCACCGACTGAAGCAGGGTTGCATGTGAACCAGTTCAGATATATGTAAATCATGAACCAACACATGCACAAGTGTATGTATTTACAAACACATCTATATTTATTGTTTACATTTCCAATGCAGATGGCACAGGACCCAGTACAAGTGCTAGCCTCGGAGCCATGTTGGTGCAGGTCACTACGGATGGGGGCGTGCCGAAGCTGCACTGTCCGGTGTGCAACAAAGCGCTGGGCTCTCTGGCCGGCTATGTGAAGCATCTGAAGAAACACGAACCGCCTGGCGGCTTCAAATGTCGCCACTGTAACTCGCTCTTCTGCCAGGAGGATGAGCTGAAGAAGCACGTGGAGGCCACCCACGCGGAGCTGACGTGCAACCTGTGCCATGGTATGAGCTTCGTTAGTTCGGCCGCTTTGTGCTCTCACATCAACGAGGTACATCCCGATGAGGATAGGGAGAAGCACTTCAAATTCTTGAAGTTTGGCTTGGGACTTGCCACTGAGGATTCCATAAAAAGCGATAATGCCACACGTTCCTTCAAATGCGACATATGCGATAAGAGTTTGCCGACCAGACGCGATTTGAAACAGCATCAGGAGACTGTGCACAAGACTGGACCTGGACGACGCCGGGGCTTTGCGGAAAAGAACGAACGTGCGCACAACGCTACACCTTCTGCTCTGACTCCGCCCGTACGCAAGGTGGAGTGCAAGGGCTGTAACGCCACCTACTCCAGCTCCTCGAATCTAATGAAGCACAGACGCAGTCGACCGGACACCTGCGGCCTGCCCATCTATGATACGTGTACGCAACGGGGGCGTCCTCGTGGCTCACGCTGTTAGTATATTTTTAGCTCGAATATTGCACCTATCTCACACATTTCTTCTCACTTTACAGCGTCCAATACTTTGGACTCATCAACTGCCGCAAAAATAAAAGCGAAAGCCAAGAAGACGCGAAAAAAGCACGGCTCCAATTCTTCTAGCGATGGAGGAGATGATTTCATGGACAATGATAACGTAGACAGCAGCGATGATGATCTGCCATTGGCCAACAGACTCAAGACACGAGGCCAGCAAATGAAGCAGGAGCCCATCAGCACTGCAGTCAGCGATTCGGATGAAGAGTATCCCGACTTCGAGCCCACCAATAGCGACGATGATGACTTCAAACTGCCCGCACCTGCAAAGGTAAAGGAGGAGACATACGATGATGATTTCGAGTACCAGGATGCCAGCCTCTTTGTGCAGTCCACATGCGCCGTCAAGGAGGAGGGCACAGGCAGCGAAATTTTCATCAATGAGAAGGACAAGTTGCTGGATGTGCTGCTCAGCACCGAGGAGGATGGAGTTGTGGCAACTGGCGAGACCAATCTAAAGCCATTCGAAAGTCTGAAAGTGGAGCACGCGATGCTGGATGAAATAGCCGCTGTGCCTTTGGCGGCCACAAACGAGCCGGAGTCCGTGGAGGAAGATGTTCTGGCGCTGCAAGAGCCTGCATCTCCGGAAGACAACGACGACGACGATGATGATGATGATGACGAGGACTTTGAATATGACAGTGAAGCTGAGAAAAAATCTAAACGCAAGAAACAATCAAAAGCGAAGGCGTCTAAACCGACGGGTCCCAAGCGTAAATATCGAAAACGCAATGCCCCGCGTACACCGTCACCCTCATCGGACAGCCAAATGCCGAAACGTGTTGCCAAGATCAGCAAGAAAGAGCTCAAGGAACGTCTCAAGATGATCAACAAAGTGGAAAAGTCGTGGAAGTGTCCGCACTGCGTCAAAATCTATCACATACGCAAGCCGTACGAGAAACATTTACGCGACGATCACAAACTAACGCCCGAGCAAATGAAGGAGATATTCAAAGATGTCGATGCGCACGCCAAGCTGGATGAGGAGGTCTTCAAATGCAAGATATGCTCCAAGATCTATTTGGTGGAGAAACGTCTGGAGACGCACATGAAGGTGCACGGCGAGGACGGCAGTCTCACCTTTAAGTGCCCCTGCTATTGCAATCTATTCTTTGCCACCAAGGAGGAGGCCACAGCACACGCCCACAAGCAACACAAGGAGCTGCTCTACTGTGTCATCTGCGACAAGTACATGACTGGCCACGACAGCTTAAAGAACCACGAGAAGAACTTCCATTCAAAAAAACAGCCACGCAATCAGCCCCGTAATCTCATCTGCGACAAGTGTGGCAAAAAGTTTACCGGACGCACCTCTTTATCGGATCACGTGCGCTCCGATTGCGGTCGACTGCCCCTCTATCAGTGCTCTGTGTGCAGTAAACGTCTCTCCACCGCCGGCATTTTGAAAACCCACATGCTGCTCCATAAGGATGAGACGCCATACCAGTGCGACAAATGCGGCAAGACTTTCAAGGTGAAGGCTCAGTACAAATCGCATCTAAAAACGCGACACACGGACTACAAACCCTACAAGTGTCATGTAAGTAGATTCAATAGTTTTGTTTTTAACTATTTCCAACAAAGAAAACATTAATAGATATTTAAGAAGTGGTTTGAAATTCCTTAACAATGTTATTCTAATTTCTTGTTTGCAGCTCTGCCCCAAGGAATATCCCTACCGTGAAAGTCTGCTGACGCACATGACCGTCCACACAGGCATCAAGCGGTTCCTCTGCAACAATTGTGGCAAACGATTCACTTGCATCTCGAATCTCCAGGCGCATCGGAAGGTGCATGCCGACACCTGCGGCCTATTGCCCCTGAATGCAAAGGCCACGCAATATATGGGCGTGCAGCGGGGCAAGCTGTTGATGGGCGCGAAGCCCGAGGCAGGAATGGAGTATGAAGAGACCAAGACCCTCATTGCGCAGGATGTTATTGATCGCGATATGCCAATGGCACAGGAACTTAATTTTCCCTCAGAGCCATCGGCGCCGTTGGCCACTGTGCCCCTCAACTATGCCTCCTCTCATCTGGTTCCGCATATTGTGCTTCAAACCATGCAGGCGGAGGCCAGGCGCTCATCAAATTAGATTAAGGTAGAGTAGTTAATGATTATTTTCTATTATGCGCCCGCAGTTTATATAAAATACGCCTTGTATATAATGTCGAAGACTTTTTGTGCATTTGCTTACATTAACTTACGACTAATTGACAATTACTAGATGGATTGCGAACTGCAGCAAGTATTGGTTGATTTGAATACTGAGTGTCGCTTCAGATTAGTCTAAAGTAGGGCTTTTGTATACGTCCAATGGGCATGCGTCCCTTGGTGCGCAATCGGCGCACCGCCTCCCGTATAAACTTGGGTTGCAGAGCGCCCGATTCGCCCTGGGCCTCCATGACATCGAGCGCTGCAAAGCAGTGAATTATTAAAAATAGGTATGGGAAGAAACAAAGCTTTGTGCGTACCCTCCTCCACCACTTCGCCGACAAACACCTTGGCTATGCCGGACATGGCTATGACCACATTTTGGGACACAGAGCACCCAGTAATCGTTTGCATTAGACGTTTAACGGCGGCCTTAGGAAATGCCGAGCGGCGGTACATTTCATACCGATCCAGTTGCTCCTCCGTAAAGTTAGAAACGAGCACCCTTGAGGGGAAGTAGAGAGTTGTAATCATTTGGTTATTATTATTTGTTAAGCTCCCTCACTGCATGCGTTCCCGCTCCTCCTCCTCTAGCTCCTTCTTGCTCTTTTGCTTTTTTTGTGGTGGCTCTCCGGAGTCGCCATCGTTTTTGTCAAACTTAAATTCTGTGTCCGCATCATTGATGTTGGCGCTGCCCTCGCCACTATCCGAGGTTTCGCTGTCCTTGCGGTTGTCCGAGGCGGTGTTGAAGAATTTAAGATCCACCTCATCGCTGTCGCTTAGCGAATTGTTTTTCTGTTGGGTGGGAAACAATATTTGATCCATATTTGTTAATTATTGCGAGCGATTCCAAGACAACAAAATAGACCAGGGCTGCAGCAAGAGCTACTGTCTTCGGTACGGCATTTGCCAGCACTGCACATTGTACATCAACTAGTTCGCAATAATTATATTGTCTTCAATTTGTTGCAAATTTATTGCAAAGGAAAGTAAAAAATTTATTAATTATATATAAATTAGTAAGTTTATTACAAAAACATGGCATATGAGAGTAATTATCGTAGTCTGCCCTGAAAAGTAACTTTTAGTTTGTTCGTTGTACAACACTAGCAGCTTGCCTCGTGCTTTTGTTCTTTCCTTTTCATTACTCAGTCCGCGAAGTGCGCGAGTGTTGCTTTTATTTAATTAATCAACAAATAATTAAGAAACAAAGCCATGTCCGCAACTGAGGCACTGAATGTGGAGGCCGTTGCGCCCGAAGTTGTCGCACCACCTACTGGTGAAGATGCGAAAAAACAGAAGAAACCAAAGCCGAACAATAAAAAACTGCGGCAAGGTGAGTGACCTGCACTTTTGATCCGATTGTAAAAATTGCAACTAAAATGCATTTGTATACGCGAAAACAGAAGCAGCTGCCAAGAGGGCTGCTGAGGGCGGTGAAGATGCCGCCGTTGATGGGAATGCTGTAACAAATGGCGATGGTGTTGGAAAAAAGGCGGCGGCGTCGGCGCCGGCAGCAGCGGCGGCAAGTAAGAAGAAGAATAAGGGCAAGAAAAGTGGGGGCGGGCAAACGGATCCACCCACCATACCAATTGCAGAGCTCTTTCCGAATGGTGCCTTTCCCGAGGGTCAGATTATGGAGCATCCCACGCCCAAGGATCTGCCTGACGATCGCACTGCCAAGGATCGCTTCACCTCGGAAGAGAAACGCACGCTGGATCGCATGCACAATGATATCTACCAGGAGTTGCGTCAAGCTGCCGAGGCGCATCGTCAGACACGTCAGTATATGCAGGGATACATTAAGCCCGGCATGACAATGATACAGATTTGCGAAGAACTTGAGAATACGGCGCGCCGTCTTATTGGCGAGAATGGATTGGAGGCCGGCCTGGCTTTCCCCACCGGCTGCTCACTGAACCATTGTGCCGCCCACTACACGCCCAATGCGGGCGATACAACGGTGCTGCAACACGACGATGTGTGCAAAATTGATTTTGGCACACACATCAAAGGGCGTATCATTGATTGTGCATTTACACTGACGTTCAACAATAAGTACGACAAGTTGCTGCAGGCGGTCAAGGAGGCGACCAACACGGGTATTAAGGAGGCGGGCATTGACGTCCGTCTATGTGACATTGGCGCGGCCATTCAAGAGGTAATGGAATCTTACGAAATCGAACTGGACGGCAAGACGTATCCCATCAAATCGATACGCAATCTAAATGGACACTCCATTAGCCCCTACCGTAGGCATTAATCAGTGACTTATCTATGTCAGCAATTAATTTCATTTGGCACTTTGCAGGCATACATTCGGGCAAGACGGTGCCCATTGTGAAGGGCGGCGAATCGACACGCATGGAGGAGGACGAATTCTATGCCATTGAAACCTTTGGCTCAACTGGTCGTGGTCTCGTGCACGATGATATGGACTGCTCGCATTACATGAAGAACTTTGATCTGCCATTTGTGCCGCTGCGCCTTCAATCCTCCAAACAGCTGCTGGGCACAATTAACAAGCATTTCGGCACGCTGGCCTTCTGCAAGCGTTGGTTGGATCGCGCCGGCGCCACCAAATATCAAATGGCGCTCAAGGATCTGTGCGACAAGGGCATTGTCGAGGCCTATCCACCGCTGTGCGATATCAAAGGTTGCTATACGGCCCAATACGAGCACACCATTATGCTGCGACCCACCTGCAAGGAGGTGGTCTCGCGTGGCGACGACTATTAAACTGGTTGGTTGGCAAAACATTATTAGCATGCATTACAACACGTTTTGATATTAAGTTCATTCAATTGTTGATTTTTGTGAGCATATGAAACGATTTCAATATATACAGTATATAATGTGGTAAGTACGGAGCGTATTTCCATTATTTATAAATTTTATTATCATCTATTATGCTGAATTCGAAATTGAAAATTTAATTGATTTGTATGTGAAATTAGTTTTCTATCATTGCTGCTGCTGTGATGTTAAGCCTTTCGGTGACAATTCCTTCCAGTATAGCTCGTTAGTGGGAGGTTCTGCGTTGACAGTTGCTGTGTTCCTTTTCTTAAAAGCCCGATAATAATAGACGAACCATTTGCCAGTCAGATAATACAATATTTCTATATAAGTGATGATGCTGAAGCCATACATCAGCGACAAAATGCCACCAAAACGATCTGTTAACAAAAATCATTTATATATAGTAATATTTTAATAGTTGTTTCAATTCCTACTCAACTGAGTAACACCACCCAATCGCTAGCTACGTCCATTGCCGTTGCCTGTGCGTATCGCAGCCTGAAATATAACTTGATTATCGCCAGCGGACGATCATTTTTGAGGCCCTTGCTAAAAATTTAGATCCGATAAAGATCATTGATATTTCTTGCTCGATCCTCACTCACAGTAGGCCAAAGGAATAGCCAGAATTGCCATAAGCTTTTCTCAGAGGCGCCACATTAGTCGTTATGTGAAATTCCACGCCATTGCAAGTGGGTAGACAATGGCCACATTGCTTGACGTTCTGATCATCGTCGTCCTCGTGGTCCTGCACATAGGAGAACTCCTTAAATCCGTACCAAATCCGCTTCCATTTCAATAGGCAGGGCAAGTCGAGCACTGAGCAAACGGGGACATGATCGGTGCTTGCCGACATGGTTGAGGAAACGCAGCCGCAGTGTTGGAGCATGCTGGCCATGCGACAAAGCATTAGACACTCCTCCAGAGAATAGTAGGACGAGTTTAACAATTTCCTGCCCTCATCTGGAAAGTAACACAAACGTTTCTCTGGCGAAACACCACGCACCGTCGCAGAAGACTCCAAAAATTTGGGTTGTATGGGTATTTCAACAATTGTATTATGATCAATAAGTAGCTCACCTAGAGTACTCGACTGTATCGTAGCATAGTCCTCTTGCTGAAAAAGATATACCTGCAATGGAAGTAAATACACAGTTCAAAGAGCAGAGTTAGCTTTCACGGATTTTGATAAAACTTCAGAATGTAGTCGGGTACTATAAAATACTAAGAAATGCTTAATTTTATGTTCGTAACCTTTGTGGAGGGATAGAAATCGATGTTCATACAGACGGACGAAAGAACTGTATTGATTCCTTTCCTTGTGCCTTTAATATATGAATGTTTTGTATAGCACCGCTCTTTGGCATAAATATTAAATATAAGTCTTAAATAAAGGGACTATAAAATACTAATAAATTCTTAATTTGGTGTTCGTAACTCTTGCGGAGGAAAAGAAATCGATGTTCATACAGACAGACGGAAATACTGTGTCGATACCCTTCCTTGTGCCTTTAATATTTTATCTGTTACAAAATTATTTTATAAATTCCTTTTTTGGTATGGATATTAAATAGGGACTATAAAGGGACTATAAAATACTAATAAATTCTTAATTTGGTGTTCGTAACTCTTGCGGAGGAAAAGAAATCGATGTTCATACAGACAGACGGAAATACTGTGTCGATACCCTTCCTTGTGCCTTTAATATTTTATCTGTTACAAAATTATTTTATAAATTCCTTTTTTGGTATGGATATTAAATAGAAGCCTTAAATAAATCTCAAGTTAAAGCAGGTAGATAGCTAAGATTGGGGTCCCACGTAATAAACAAAGAAGCTTTGTAGACTTTTATTCGAAGCAATTAATTATTCTCAGTTTATTCGGAAGTAGTCCTTAAACCTACCTGAAACGCATCGTTGCTTAAATAGGTGTAGGTGAAGTCATCCGGACTAGATCCCTGTAGCACGAACTGTACGCTGTTAAGTATAGAATTGGACTCGAATACCACTTCGGGTTTGGAGGCCATTTCGGCATCTTGCTCGGCTCGCACCTCTCTGTAAGTGGATTTTATAGAGGAGGGGCGATCTATTGCGTTACTGGTGTTTTCTGCTCACGGAATCTGTGAATAGCTGGGACGTTTGTAATTGAACAAACAACAGATACTCGAAGATGTGGCTCGCTGGAGGAATAACTTTCTGGTATCGACTGGGGCTCCAAAGACTATACCGCGCACCACGAGCTCATCGCAATCGGACGATAAAATGCGCAAAATGTCACGCACCGAGTACTGGCTCGTGTTGTAGTAGCTGGTGAGCAGCCAGTGTAGATGGGACAGTTCGCTTTCCTCCAAGTCGGGCTCGTCGTGGGCATTCAAATAGAAATAAACCAGCCACAGCAGGCGGCGCGCCATATCGTCCACATCGGCTGCCACATCGGTTGCCACAAAACCAGCGACGTTGAACGGCGACGAAGAGTTCAGCAATGACGACTGGTGCTGATAGCTGGAAAAATAGGTGTACGAGTATTATTAGCATGCAAGCCATGTCTGCTGTGGACTCTTCGGTGCATTATAAATGCCAAGAAACTCAAGGGTTCGGCTTTAGTTGCAAACATGAAGTTACTGTGCACTTGGCTTGTCTTCAATTTGTTCGCCACGCTGTGGCTGAATGCTGTCTGCGAACGCCAGCGCTTCGATGACTACCGTGTCTATCGCCTGCTGCCCGAAAAGGAGGAGCACTTGACGGTACTAAAGCCTCTAGAGGCGCATAAGGATAATGTGATCTTCATCGACACTCCGAAGCTGCGCAAAATGGATGTGCTGGTCAGGCAGACTTATGAGGAAAAGTTTCTGTCGCTGTTGCGAGAGGCGGGCATACTTCAGCAGCTGCTGGACGACAATCCACAAGCGACTTTGGAGCTGGATATTGAACCCGTTGCAGATGCGAATAGACGCAGCGACGACTATAGCTGGACCCAGTACCATGAGCTGAACGACACCTATCAGTGGCTGGAAAATATGGCTGGCAAATATCCCGAAGTTGCCAGCGTCTTTGTCGCTGGCCAGAGCTACGAGAATCGAGAGTTGCGGGGCTTGAGAATTGCTTATAAAGCGGAGCAGGAAGCTGACACCCGACAAGCTATCTTCCTGGAAGCTGGCATGCATGCACGCGAATGGATAAGTCCGGCGACTGCCAATTACTTTGCCAACGAACTGTTGACTTCGGAGCAGCCAGCAATCCAGCAATTGGCACGCGCCTACATCTGGTACATACTGCCCCATGCCAATCCCGATGGCTATGTCTACACCCACACGCAAAATCGTATGTGGCGGAAGACGCGTAGTCCGCAGGCCAAGGATTGCTTTGGCACTGATCCGAATCGTAATTGGGGCTTCCATTGGCGTGAGGTGGGGGCTAGTGCTGAGCCTTGCTCGGAATCATATGCGGGACCGAAAGCCTTCTCGGAACGTGAGACTGAGACGCTGTCGCAGTACCTGAGAAGCTTACCCGAACCCATTTTCATGTACATTGCCATGCATTCGTTCTCGCAACTGCTGCTTTATCCCTTTGGGCACACTTCAGCATTGCCGGGGAATCATCGCGACTTGGACAGGATATTCAGTGCAGCCGTTTCGGGTATGAAACGACGGTTCGGTACACGTTATACGGGAGGAAATGTTTATGACGCTATCTATCCGGCTGCCGGCTCTAGCATGGACTGGGCCTATGGCGAATTGGGTGTAAAATATGCCTTCACCTATGAGTTGCGTCCGTCGGGCTATAGCTTCTGGACAGGATTTCGACTGCCTGCCTCACAGATTGTGCCAACGGGCCAGGAAACCACAGACTCACTGCTGGAAATGGTTAATGCAGCAAAGGCCTTAAGCCCTTAACTGTCGACAATAAAGTGGGTTGATAACGATCTAAATTCCTTGTTATTTTGGGGGTAATTAATGTTCCATTTCGACTTCCATTTCCCTTACGATTTCAAACATGACGTTGACAAGAATGAAAAGCAATTGCTGGCTAAAATAAAAGTCCTTAATATGATAGATTAGTTACTATATGTTGATTGATTAGATTTTAAAACGTTATCTGGGTTTCATAATCTACGGAAGAGCATTTGAAAATTAATAAGAACCTTTAAAATCTCTGAGATTTAATTAGCTACCGGAATGGACTAGAAATAAAAGTCAAGTCATGGAATTAGCGAACTCACTTCATTGATGATCGCAAAATCGCAAAATCTTATCAATCCTAGTAGTACAACAAACCCAAGAATGTACATATAGCTTGATTATCAGCACAAACGCTTTTCATTGAAAGAGATGCAGCGGCGATTAATACTCTTTAAAGTGTTAAAGTTGTGAACTAGTAAAAAAGTAGATTTTATTTATAGATTGATTATTCCAGATGTTGATATTTGTTTTAATAATAGGCAGAGTCCATCCCTGGTAGATTAGCCAGTAATACAACTTAACTAACTAGGTTAAATTTCCCTACCCTTTAATAGTTCGAAAGCTAGGGAGTACGTTAACAGCAATAGTATTGCCCTCGCTTTTGGAGATTTTGCACTTAATTTTGATTGATAATTTGATTTTTACCCACCTAATCCGACCCTGTCTAGGCAATTGAGCCGCACGAGCTGTTAAGTCGATGATTTATTATATTCTATGATATTTTTTTTCCCGATAACGACTGTTGAGATTACCGTTATTTATAATTGTGGCAAACTTGCAGACTTTTTCAACTCAATATGCAATAAATTAGATTTAGATAATTCAAAATCACCCCTATCGTCTAACAAGTTCTTGTTATCGGGCGCGCTCCGCGAAACCGAAGTGCCTATATAAGCACTCCTACCGTCTAGCGAAAGGCGTATTCCACGAACATGTCGCGGAGCAAATGTTTATTAGTCGCCCTCGTGGGCTTACTAGCCCTCGTAACTCCTGGCCAGAGTGCTCTCCGTGCGCGCTATGACAACTATCGCGTGTACAAAGCTAATGCCGAGAGCGAAGCCCAGTTGGCTGTGCTGAAGCAGTTGGAGAGCTCCAGTGATTCGATCATCTTCTTGGAGGGCGTACATCGCTTGAACGCTGACGTGCACATGGTTGTCGCTCCCCATAAGGTACCCGACCTATTGGAGGTTCTGGGACGTGAGGAAATCAAATATTCTCTGGAGTCTACTGACTGGCAAAAGGCCATGGATGCGACAGATGAAAGTGTGGCTATTAAGGGCCGTGCTGGCGACTATAGCTGGACGGCTTACTACGAGCTGGATGATACCTATAATTGGCTGCAAACTTTGGCTCAGCAATATCCCGGAGTTGTCACCTTGATCGAAGGCGGCAAGACCTACCAGCGTCGTTCTATTCTGGGTGTGAAAATCTCTAAGAGCGGTACTCAAAAGCCTGGTATTTTCATTGAGGCTGGCATTCATGCTCGTGAATGGATTGCTCCTGCTGCTGCCACTTACATCATCAATCAGCTGCTGACCTCAGAGACGGCATCCATTAAGCAGTTGGCCCAGAACTACGACTGGTACATTTTCCCCCACGCCAACCCCGATGGCTACGTCTATACCCATACCACCGACCGTATGTGGCGCAAGACTCGCCAACCGCATGGCACTTGCTTTGGCGCCGATCCCAACCGCAACTGGGACTTCCACTGGAATGAGGTGGGTGCCAGCAGCAGTGCCTGCTCGGACACCTATGCTGGACCATCGGCCTTCTCCGAAATCGAAACACTCTCGCTGTCCAACTACATTGCCTCGATAAAGAGCAAGATCCAGCTGTACATTTCCTTCCATGCCTACTCCCAGTATTTGCTCTACCCCTACGGACACACCAGCGACCTACCCGTAAATGGCGATGATTACAAGAAGGTATTTGATGCGGCCATTGGCGCCATTAACCAGCGTTATGGCACCAAGTACACTGGTGGCAACATCTACGATGCCATCTACCCTGCTGCTGGCGCCAGCGTGGATTGGGCCTTCGGTACCCAAGATGTGCGCATGGCCTTCTGCTATGAGCTGCGTCCCTCTTCCAACTCTATTCTGACCGGCTTCAAGCTGCCCGCAGAGCAAATCATTCCAGCCAGCGAGGAGCTGTTGGATTCCATTACTGCCATGGTTTCGGAGGTAAAGAATCTGGGCTACTTTGATTAAAAACGAACGATTTAATAAACGAAAGTCATATTTTTGTGGCAAGCAATTTAAAAGTAAAATAAATTATAAGCCAAAGCTCTAATTGCGATAATTTTGGGGTTGGGGGCGTAAGCCGCTAAGAGTGGCCGTTAGCCGAACTAAAATTTAGTTGACTCCACTGAATAGTCTATGAATAGTCGAATTTTCAAACCTTATTGCTGTTTCGAGTCCATCTAACTTTCTAGATAATTGGATAATATAGTATGCTTCCAAAAGAATCGTCGAATTTACAAGAAAAATAGTTATCTCTAATAGTTAAGGAAATAAAGGAAAAACCCAGTTTGGAATTAAAAAAAAAAAAAAACTGTAAAAACTGCAGCAAATTAATCTAACTCGTAAATTAATTGTTCGATATCAGCATGGACTTTCTACAGAAATACTTCAGAGTGGTTCACAAACCACTTCGCTTTGAGTGAGACTTGACTTTCTAGTACATATGGTGTTTACTTTTATTAAATCATGTCTGGGCTGTCTGAGTAGAAAAAGTTGCAAATAGAAGTACTTTGGGTAACTGATTTACTATGCTGCAGAATTTTTGCAGATAAAGTCAACTAAGATAGCATTTATGGTTAGTGTAAAGTAGCAGACAATTCTCATTTACAATAAATCAGATTTGACTAATTGGAAATGCAGGTTATCGTGGCCTGTGGGTCCTATAAAACCACCTACGTTGGCCAGTGCAGGGCTATACGAAAAGCATGTACCGAAGCAAGTGTCTTTTAGTTCTTCTAACGGGTCTGCTGTCCCTGGTTAGCCCCGGCCAGGGTGCACTTCGTGCGCGCTATGACAACTATCGGATGTACAAAGTCAATGCCGAGAGCGAAGCCCAGTTGGCTGTGCTGAAGCAGTTGGAGAGCTCCAGTGATTCGATCATCTTCCTGGACGGCGTACATCGCTTGAACACTGACGTGCACATGGTTGTCGCTCCCCATAAGGTACCCGACCTATTGGAGATTCTGGGACGTGAGGAAATCAAATATTTCCTGGAGTGTGGTGACTGGCAGAAAACCATAGATGAGGCTTGGAACCATGTGCCTGTTAAGAGTCGTTCTGCAGTCTACAGTTGGAAAGAGTACCATTCTTTGAATGATACCTATAGTTGGTTGCAAACTTTGGCTCAGCAACATCCCGGAGTTGTTACCTTGATTGACGTTGGTCAGACTTATGAGAAACGACACTCCCAACAATTCGGACGTGTACCCTGGACCTTCGGCCTTCTCCGAAATTGAAACTGAATCCCTGTCTAAATATATTGGCTCGATAAAGGATAGGATCAATCTGTACATTTCCCTCCATGCCTATTCACAGTTGCTGCTCTACCCCTATGGATACACGAATGAACTGCCAGATAACGCAGCCGACTACAAGAAGGTCTTTGATGCGGCCATTGGAGCTATAAGCAAGCGTTACGGCACCAATTACACTGGTGGCAATATTTACAAAGAGATCTACCCCGCTGCTGGCGCCAGTTTGGATTGGGTTTATGGTACCCAAGGCGTGCGAATGGCCTTCTGCTATGAGCTGCGTCCCACTGGAGGCAATGATTTAAAATCCTTTCTTCTACCCCCTGACCAAATTATTCCTACCAGTGAGGAGCTACTGGATTCTATCACGGCCATGGTTGCCGAAGTAAAGAATCTCGGCTACTTTGTTAAAAAGTGGACAACTTATTAAATGCTACTTACATTTTTGTTGCATAGTCATGAAGTAGACGCTTGCTCACTTTATTGGGACTGCAAACGGCGACGGCGAGAAAGGGACTGTTGGACACATGCGTCAGAGTGGGGGTCATACGCAGCTCGGTGGGTTGGTCAATAAAGTGCAGCGTTAGGTTGACAATGACAACATGTGTCCAGACCACAATTATGATGAGTAGCGCCAGCCAGAGTGCTCTGTCAATAGATGTGGCATACGGTTTATCTGCTGTGTACATTATACGAGTATATCCTTATCTGACTGGCCTGATTGGCTACGCACTTGGCAAATCGCACGGGCGTGTACATCAAAAACGGCTTTAGCCCACTTATATAGCTATTGCGCAAAAAGTCTTTAAAGACGCGCCGAACATCCGATTTTTCCTCGACTACCATCTTGGATGGGGCTTTCAATGTGAACCACAAAACAGACATTTTATAGTGCACTGAGCAAGGTCAGGAGCAGCTCATCAATCAAGAGACTTAATTCGAATGTGTCAAGGGTAGGCGTTTATTAGTCTAGTCCTGATTGACAAAGTTAAAGATAGGGCGAAAGGTCAAAAAATATATAAATTCAAAGGCAGTCACAATGCTGAACCCCATGATGAGACCAAGCAGGCCGCCAAACGAAGCTGTAAAGTAAAAAAAAAATAACTCGATTAAGTTGCTCGTCAAGTTGTTAGCAATAACCACCTAAAGCCGATAGCCAATTCTGAAATATCTCCATGCGGTAACGGGTGGACATCAAATCACTGTAGAAGACATGCAAAAGGATGTTGTCCGTCCGATTACTGCGATTAGCCGCTTGGCTAGACAGATAGGTAGATATAGAAAGATAGTTACTGGAGTGCATCTTCGGAAACTCTACTCACCTGGCAGTCATTCTTGTTAGGGAATAGGTGATGTTTAGTTTGCCCATAGTGCTCTCGGATACGTAATGATTCGATTGGCAGTCTGGCAAGCAGTCGCAGGGAAAGTCGTCTGTCTGGCGCACAATTGACAGTGTAATATTAATATTAGCCAGGGCCATGGAGAAAACACCTACGGATGAAGATGGAGTATTGAGAAAACTAGAACTTAAGGAGCATACAAGTAGTACTCGCAGCTTACGCTTGCTTTGTATCACGCAATTGACTTGTAGAATGCCACAGGTCGGCTGACTGCCATTATTGTGCATATAGGCCGGAAGGCAGCCGCAGCGCTTAAGGATCATCAGCACCCTACATTCAAACATGCAGTTGACGAAAGAGTATCGCTGCAGTCCGTTCAATGAGCGTTCGCGTCCAAACAGGCAGTTCCGCAATTGTAGGTCCATGCGGCGAATATCCTCGGTGGCATATGTCGACTCCGGGCTAATGCGGACAAAGCTCTCACGGGTCGCAGTCACGACTTTTGTTTCCGAATTCTCATCGGGAAAGTTGTAGGCATCGTGTATGAGCAGCCGGAAGCCATAGCCACTGAAGAAGGTGCCGTAGTAGTCAGAGATCATGGGATTGAGCAGTATTGATAGGCCAGTGGGATAGCCGCAGCCCGTAACGCGATACGGTCGCTTGGGCACCTGATACGCTATTTTCCTATAAACAACAATAATATATACTTCGACTTTCCTTCATTTCCTTCGCACTTACTCTGGAAAGTTGTTGGTTACCGAAGCAAAGTAATTGAAGCTGCAACACGTGCCCTCCATGGTTACAACGCGTTGAAATAGGCTCTCACATCTCGTATTCATGCCCTTCCAAATGCAACGCGAAATCATTTCAATGCAATCGGGTGATATTTGCTGTGCAAGATCGGCCAGCGTTACGTTGTTTAGCTTCAGAATGCGATCGTAGATCTGCAAACTTTCGTTGCTCACAACAAGGGTTGGTGGATAGAGTGTCAAGTTAAAGAGATCCCGCAAATCCATTTTCGTCACATTTGAAGGCAACTGCCTAAGGGATAAATAAATTTCAGAAAGAGAATCTTTATTAAGTATGCTTTCTTTTATTAAAAAATAGTGTTTAGTGTTGCTTATAGATCAAATCCCAGATTGATTTGGAAAACACAGCCCCAAATAGGGGGAAATGGAAAAACGATTTTCTTGCTTTATAAAGTAAGTGTTGTTTGCAGCTCAAGTCCTGAAAAAATATGGAAAACTCAGCTCCAAATAGGGGATAAAAGGTATATAAGTGTTTGGAAAAGGGATTTTCATATGATTTTCTTTATAAAAGATGGAAATAAGCCAAAATTATGAAAAATTAAATTCCCAATTGGGTGAAAACTTTATACCCGTTTTCACCCAATTAGGGATTGAATTTTGTTTGTTTGTTCTTACTGAAGCTCATTGCTAATGTTATTTTCTTTATTTAAGTCTGAAATAAGCACTGTAGTGCTAAATCGAAACATATATGATTAATAGGGGTGTTAAGCCCCAAGATAGTAGAGCATGAGTTGTTGATGTCTTTATTCCAAATAATTAATTAGCACACTCTTTGATTTATGAATACTTTATTTAACAAATATTATGTTAGTTCACTTCTTAAACAGTTTATTCAGTTACTTCTTTAGCACTTGACTTTCTTTCTGACTTCTTCGACAATTAAGACCCCACACTTCTGTAATCTGATTCTGATCTCAATGTTTAGCTTTCTTTGCTCTCTTTCTCTCGCTCTCTACCTGTAGCTGTCATTTCATAAACACGGCTACTGTGTTACTTTTTAATCTCAACTTCCTAAGGGAGTTGAATTCTCCCTGTTTTATAGAACTAAAGTATTTCTTTTTCATACTTACATGCGGTCTAAGAAATTCAGAGCTTTCGTTTTTGATATCTTATTGAAATTGCAAACAGTAATTGCGGGAAAGGGAATATTCCATGTGGGAAAGTGTGAGCTCTCGATAACTGTCACTGTAGGCGTTTCACGATTCCAATACCATGAGATGAGCACCAACACAATGGATGTTATGATGGCCAAGATGACAATGCCGAGCCAAAACAGTCGCTCACCATGACTGATGTCGGGCCGTGTAATATAACTAAAGCCATGCAGGGATGTAGTCTGACAATAGTTGCTCAAATTCTCGCTAAACCAACGCTTAAACGCCACCCATGGCGTCAGCGTGACCTGACTAGGTGAACGTTTGTCCTTCGTATTGCTCCCAAAAGACTTGGCCAGCTGTTGGGCCTGCACTTCCTGCAAGTCGAATATGCGACGTTTGGGCAAAGGCATTGATGGTTCTAGACTTCCTATGGACAACTGACCCAGAAGTCCAGAAGCGAACGCCAATTAACTGGCGGCCAGTTGTCCTAATTACCGCTAATGAGCAGCGGCTGCCAACTGGGCCTGACGACGTCGCTTGCGGCGCAGCCGATATTTAATTTGTTGTTTCGTTAACCAATTACAAGTGGGTCGCACAAACACGAAGAATATTAATTCGAAGACAGAAACGAAACTACACCCCATAAATAGTCCAGTGATGCCACCGAAAGTGCCTGAAAATTATACATTAATACGAGTACACAGTACAAGCATACGTCCTTTTGCTCATTAGTTCACTACTTCTGGCATTACTTGCCTATAAATGTTAGCCAGTTTTCGTAGACATCCAAGCGTAACTGCTCAGCGGTTAGAGCATCGTAATAAACATGCAGAAGCACTTCATTGGAGGCATTGAAATTTTTGCTGTAAGTAAAGTAAAGGCTTTCTAATCACATGCGATTTTTCAGATGTTTTTGGTGAGCAAACAAACAAGGAAGTGTAAAAAGGTATACTAAAAAGTCTGAAAATATGTAAAAGCTAGAAGCAAGCCTCATTTTACGGGCCTAAGCAAGTTCAGTATGACGCAACAAATAAATATAGGCTTGTCCGGTAGACCGCTCGTCAGACCTTCAACCTGTCTGTATGTATGAACCACGATAACTTTTGAGCAATAACAGCTAGAGTCACTATATTGGGTATTTAGACTTGTTTTCTGTATATGTATACTGAGTTTATCATAAACCATGAAAAGTTTCATTATTTTATATAGCTACCATAGGAACGATCGGTGAAAGCAAATCCTTTCTATGTTACGCTATTGTAAGTGTTTAATTATATCTCACAATAGTCGGAAGTAAGAGAGAAATCGGTGGACTTTATATGTTAGCTTCTATAAAAATGATTTGTATATTACAACTTAAGGCTGTAAGGCTTTGTGAGAGGGGACCCGTACAAAGTAAATAAGAGTCGGACATCCTTTTATAGAAGAATCTACTTCTATTTCTAATATTTTTCCACTTACAAGAACTTGTCATATTCATTTCTCACAATAGCCTGAAGTATTCGAAAAATCGATGCACTATATGAAGAAGAGTCGGATGCAAGCAGTATAAAAATCCTTTTATAGAAGCAAGGGCGTAGGCAGGGGGGGGGGGCAGGGGCCGTTGCCCCCCGTAGAAAAAATTTTGCCATTTCTAATATTTTTCCACTTACAAGAACTTGTCATATTCGTACTCCACTGGATAATTAACAGCCATTGGCACCACTTCGCTTAGCATTTCATAGCGATGGAATGCACACAGTGGCCAGCAATTGCAAAGGTAGACATAGTTTTCAATATTCCCAGTTTCCGTCAGTTGTCCATTTATAGCTGTAATGAGCTTGGAAAAGGACACTTGCAAAGAACGACTCAATTCTCCAACTTACAGTTGTGTTTTTGCAAGCATTCTAGCTCTGAAAATTTGCACACCAGCCAGTCCCTTCTTTTGGGGGTATGGGGCGCTACGCAACCACATTGTTTATGAAGTCGTTCGCCGCGACATTCCGCCAGACAATTGTCCTGTTCGTAGCTGGTGAAGTGAAACAATTTGCGTTCATTGGGCAAATAGCAGCGACGCTTGTCAACCTCCAGGCCACCCACGTAGGAGGTGGCATGTGTGCCAAATGGCTTCACCATCAGATAAGTCTCGGCGCTGTTTGGCGCAATCACGCGTGGACTGACGCCGTCGGGTGTGGTGTAGGATTCGTGCACCATTACCTCGAATCCATAGGTGGCTGCCGCAGCGCTGCCATAATCCTCAGACTGTGTTGCCAAACGTATAGTTAGGCCCTTTTCACAGCCGCTGTGGAAAGTGTGGCGTGTGCTCTCGTAATTAAATGTGCAACAGAGTCCTTGGTGGACAGTCCAGATGGGCTTAAGGATTTTTTCACAAGCTGTTGCCTGACCCTCCCACTTACAGCCCAAGAGCTGTGCCTCACACAAGGGCGGTGCCAAATCCTCCCATAACTGGGACCAGCTCTCGTTGCTTAAAGCCAATTGCAACAGAGCTCCGTGTGGCATGTTCAAGGACCTTTTGCCAGCCAACCAGGGCAGCCGTCTTAGCGTGTCCTCTGGCAGACCCAGCTGCCTCGCTTTCTGCTGCAAACGCTGCTTGGAAACGCGATTCAAACTGCAGATTGTCACTGCGGGAAAGGGCATGTTGGATGTCGGCTCATGCATGCTCTCTATAATGCGTATGGTGGGCGTGTCCACATTCAGGGTGTGCGACATAACCAGCACGATGAGGGATAAGAGAACGGCGGTGCATATCAGTAGCCACCAGAGAACCCGTTGCCACGTTTTGGCGCCAACGAAAATATGAAAGCCATGTATGCTGGCCATCTCACAATAGATCTCGAATCCGGTCTTGCGTTTGCAGAGTCCGTCATCGACGCGTGCCCGCAAAAACGCCAGAAAACTAGGCAAGGGTAGTCCGTTGAACCATTTGTGGCATAAGCTTAGGCGTTTGGCCGCCACGCTGTGCCCTTTGCGCCACAATCTGACCACCTTTAGGCGCTTCAGCGTTTTGTTAAGCGTTTCAAGATTACTCTCTGGCTTTGGCAGCCTAACGAACTGCTGTAGCGGATGGACTTTGTGCGGCAGTTTGGGTCTCAGATACGACTCGAAATTTATTAAGTAAATAGGTTGCTCCGGCTCGTCGGTGTTTAGTTGGGGCTCCATTACACTTATCTTCGGGCAATGCGGCACAATGATTGTTCGTTAAGCTCAATAGTCCTCTGGCTTATATAGACATGGTGCGCATATAGACAGAAGTTTCATTTGCTCGTGCTGCTACGCCCTTAGCCTGTAGTTGGATTATCAGCGATTTTTCAATCAATACAATAAATCAGATATGTATGTGCTTACAACTCGTCCATGAAAACAAGACAAAGCTCTTTATTAAATGTAGAAGCACATGTACTCTTTTTTTCTTTCTACACCGGAAATCGTGTTTATGTTAAGTTCTTGCAACATTTAATACAAAAGTCTGAAGACTTTAATTGTTGGTATTTAGGAGTGAATGGGATTCAAAAAGAAACGCCACATCATTTGCTGAAATCAAACTGTAATTGTTTTGTTCTTAAAAATGTTCCATATTATATTCACAATTGTTACTTAGGATCTAAACTTCTATATTCTACATCTACTCTCTCTTTTTGCAATTCCCTTTGATTTACATTTGTTATTCTCATCTCCAATGTGAATGTGGACTGTATTTCCTATTGGTTGTTTATACTTGTACTATCGATGACCTGCATATGATATCGCACTAATCGATACCAGATGCTTACATTGGAATTTTGGATTAAGAAAATGTGCTTAAATGCCACTAGAAGTTGTATAGAGTTGTATTTAAAGTATAGTTTCTTTTGCGCATTAAAAAATTTGAAAGCTTTAAAATAAACATAACATTAATAAAGTTGAGTAAAAAAGTGATATTGTTGCATTTAAAATTTAATCAATATCTGCAACAAATCAGATATGTGCTTACAACTTGTCCAAGAAACAATTATTAAATGCAGAACCACTTGTACTCAATTTTCTTTTTTTTATCAGAAATACAGTCTATGAAACTTCAGTTGTTGGTATTTAGAAGAGAAGTACGAATAGAAATGGTGGTCCCTCGAAAGGAGCCAAGTGAGGCAGCAGCTTGGTTTCTTAAAATCAGCTTAAATTATACTAGAAGTCTTATATAAAACATAGTTTCTGTTGTGCATTAAAACATTTAAAAGCTTTTAAGAAGTATTATTTTAACATTTAAATTGTTCTTCATTTCTGCAGCAATGTATTCAAAAATTCCTGGTATCGTTGAAAATAATTATGCATTTGTTTGCCAGGCCATCCTAAGTACATATGTAGCTATATAGTCACTTCTGTTCACATCTGCTGGTCCAATCCAATAAGCTTCGCAAACACATTAACCGCAAAGTGAGAAAAACAATATTTCCTACCATGTTTTTATGCATACTGAGATTGTTTGTTTATGTTACTGTGTTGTTGTTATTGTTTATTTTTGCATTGTTTTGCTAATGAATTTGTTATTATTTGTTTTGGGCACACACGCACACACAAACAAACCCACCCATAAAGCGCATTTATTTGAAATCGAATTTATGGGCATAAATTGTTTAAATATTTTGCTCGTGCCCGGCTGCCGTTCTCCAACGCATATTGATTAGGTCAGTCCAAATACACTGATGATCACCCAAATAGTTAAACACACTGCTGCAAAACACAAACTGTAGCAACAATTCAAATCGTGCTGCAATTTTGGTTCAAAAAAAGAATACTCTTTAATACCTTTTAACCTTTCTGAAAACCTCCTTTAAATTCTAGATAGCTTCAATTTGTGTTTCAGGTAATCGTTTTATTGTTTTCAAATCATGTTCGTAAATTAAATTGAATTAAATTAGAAATGTCTGTTTAGAAAAGCCAACGCGTTTCGGAAAACCTCCTTTACATTCAAGATAGCTTCAATTTCTGTTTGAAATCATGTTCCTAAATTGAATTTGTAGTTAAATTAAATTGAATTAAATTAGAAATAAATTTGTAATAAATACCTTAGTAAATTAAAAATAATCTGGTACTTGGATAATACGCTAGGATAAAGTATATAAATAACTAAATACAAATAAGTTTAAAGAAATCATATTAATTAAAACCTGCAGTACCCTTCAATTATAATAACAATAAATGGAAAAGTAGTTAAGAAGTTTTATTTTTAAAATGTTGATCATTTTATTTTTGTTTCCACAATCATTTTATTATTTGAAAAATTAAAGTTATCTCAAAATTGTAGTATTGGTATAGTCACAATAACACTGCAATGTGAAGTTCGAATTCATTCCTGATTTTCTTTAAATATAAAAAAATAAATTGCTTAATATAACATTGAACATCATGCCTTGCAGTTAAATCTTTGAAATATTAAGATTAAAAATAGTATTATAAATAGGTATTATAAATGGTTATTATAAAGAGTTATAATAAATAGTTAGATGGTAAGTAGTTAGATGATTAATAGTTAGATAAAAAGTTAGATGATAAATAGCTAGATGATAAATAGTTAGTTAGATAAAAAGTTAGATGATAAATAGTTAGATGATAAATAGTTAGATGGTAAATAGTTAGATGATAAATAGTGAGTTGATAAATAGTTAGATGATAAAAAGTTGGATGATAAATAGTGAGTTGATAAATAGTTAGATGATACAAGTAAATAGTTAGATGATAAATAATTAGATGATAAATAGTTAGATGATTAATAGTTAGATGGTAAATAGTGAGTTGATAAATAGTTAGATGATAAATAGTTAGATGGTAACTAGTTAGATGGTAAATAGATAGATGATAAATAGTTAGATGATTAATAGTTAGATGGTAAATAGTTAGATGGTAAATAGTGAGTTGATAAATAGTTAGATGATAAATAGTTAGATGATAAATAGTTAGATGATAAATAGTGAGTTGATAAATAGTTAGATATTAAATAAATAATTAGACGATAAATATTTAGATGATAAATAGTTAGATAAAAAGTTAGATGATAAATAGTTAGATGATAAATAGTTAGATGATAAATAATTAGATGATAAAAAGTTAGATCATAAATACATAGTTGGATGGTAAATAGTGAGTTGATAAATAGTTAGATGATAAATAGTTAGACGATAAATATTTAGATGATAAATAGTTAGATAAAAAGTTAGATGATTAATAGTTAGATGGTAAATAGTGAGTTGATATATAGTTAGATGATAAATAGTTAGATGATAAATAGTTATATGATAAATAATTAGATGATAAAATGTTAGATGATAAATACATAGTTGGATGGTAAATAGTGAGTTGATAAATAGTTAGATGATAAATAGTTAGACGATAAATATTTAGATGATAAATAGTTACATAAAAAGTTAGATGATTAATAGTTAGATGGTAAATAGTGAGTTGATATATAGTTAGATGATAAAAAGTTAGATGATAAATACATAGTTGGATGGTAAACAGTTAGATGATAAATAAATAGCAGGGAAGTGCGAAGCTTTTTCGTTTTTGATTGCCAGTCGTTCGATCGATAGAGCCTTTTACTCTGAACTGAATTGGGAGCATAACGTTTTGTAGATTGCCTTTAGAAACTTAAAAAACTCGTGTTAGGCAATGAAATATTGTGCTTAAATGTGCAAGTCTTAACGAGGATGCTAATTATTGTGCCTTGAACTATAACAAATTAAAATGCAAGCAATTAAAAACTAACTGAACATATTTCTAAAATAAGACTGTTGTCGGAGATAATGTTCGCTGTATTTATATGCAATGTTTGTTGTTTTGCTCAGAGTTGAGTTGGAAAATAAATTGAATTAGTAATTTAGTTTAGTGAAACAATACTCTGGTATATAGTACCTATTGAAATGGCGGCCAGTGTATAGAGGCGTGTGTAAATAGAATTGATTGATGGCTTAAATTCTAAATTGTGGCATACTTTTGTGCGACATTTCAAATCCGCTGGCAGATCGGGTGGTCTAATGCAAACATGGCTGTTACAAATTAATATTTTGAATGGGTAGTTAAATATTATGTTAGCTGGCTGGCAAATATTTAAATTCTATGGAATCCCGCAAGGCCATAAATTAGCAGGCAATGACCACATTAGGTGTGCACGTGTGCCCAATTAATTAAAAAAAATTGCTTTCGTGATAGGAAGTTTGCCCAAAAAATGGGGGTACACATTGATATTGAAATACTGTGTACACTTAATTCACTTTCTAGCCACGTGCCCGCCATGAGACACAGCCACAAGTACTTATATATGTATATAGATACTATATGCCTGTCTGGTTCATTAATTTATTACAAAATGAGAGGTGGTGGTGCTCTGACAGCCTCAGCGTCAGCGCCACCGCCAGCGCCATCGCCTGATAAGGCAGTGATTCGGGTAGATGATCGGATTGGATTGGATCGCTGTCCGATGACAGCTTCATGATCCACATTGTCTCTGTTTTGAGTGCAGCTGCACTGAAAATTGCAAGTTTATGATGATGGGAGGGGGGGCCTTGACTGAAGTTTAAACACACCTTGGTACAACATTTTTGGGCCACAATTGTTTAAAGATGTTCGTGTTTATAAATAAACGCATAACGGTATCTGCATTACGTCAGCCAACGGTTAATCTACAGGGCTCCAAGCTGCTGACTGGACGCCACGTGCGACCGACGTGGAACCGACGTGGCTCACTGGCTGCTGCCTGCATGGGCTATTTTTGGAAGAGCCTCGCCAATTCAGCAGCTTGAAAATAAGAAACAATTGCTAATTGTATAAACACAAGTAGATGAACTGTACAGTAAATATCAGCTAAATAGCTCAATATTTTAATGAAAATTGGGCTTCATCTCGCTTTTCATCATCTTTTCAAATTGAATTGAAGATCAGTTAAAATTGTCGCACGCTGCAACACTCAACAAATGTTTGATGAAATTTTAATAGATTATATTATACGTTTTATATGATATATTTTTTATATATTTATTATGACATTTTATAGCTTAACATCAAAAGAACAAGCACAACTTCCCAGTGCTTTTAAGAAGCTAGCTTTTCATCATCGTTTCAACTTAAATTGAAGATCAGTTCAAAATTGTCGCTCGATTCAACACTCAACAATTGTTTGATGGAATTTCAAT